CTCATCTCGTATATATACGTCTCTCCTTCGTGCTCTTATTCCTTCTCTATTGCTGCTTCTTTCTCCTTCCCTAGCTTTCTCTCTCCCTCTGCCTCTCGCACGCTCGTTCGCTACCCCCCTCCAACCGGCGACCCACGACCCACCGTCGTTACCACAGCCACCTCGATCGCCCCCTCGCCTCTCTGACTCCGCCGCCCAGCCACGCCGTCCTACCTCCTCCTCCTCCGCCTCCTCCACTGCCTCTACCAGTATGCTGCTGCTGCTGCTGCCTCTACCCTCCCCCTCCCTCCGCCGCTCATCCCCAAGCCCAAGGAAACGCGGGATCGCTTCGAATTCAAACTACTGAACACGAGGTTACCACGCGTCAAATCTGACACTTCGGCACGACGACGATTCGCCGCCGCAACATTCTCTAACCGACATGAAAAATACCGTCGATGACGTGAAACTTTACTAATTTTCATGTACAGAGCACGTTACTGTTTCTCTAACGGTATTAACTCGCCGAGTATAAAAGTCCGCGACACACTCTGTAGTTGAACTTCAAAGGACGACGAATAAAATGAAAATAACGAGCTCGTGTTTACGTTTTTTTTTTTTTTTTTTTCGTTAAGCACTTCGAAATACCCGGTTGGCTTGGGCGGTTCGTAGCCGACGGATGTGTGTTGCAGGGTTTCGAGATATGGTTTTCTGGTTGATGCAATTTACTGATCGAGTTTTGTTGTGTACGATCACACACACAGTCGACGAGCATGGGTTCGTAGAGGATAGTTGGTAAAATATTTCCACGAGATTTCGTCGCCGTCTCTGTCGTTCATATGCGCCAGCCTTTCAAGACGTTACGAGAGGATAGCATTCTACCGTTGCGATCGTCGCTTTAAAACGAGACGTTCTTTTGGGGTCGTTAGAGGTGAGCAACAATCGTATATCCGATGTATCCGTTGACGACAAAAAAAAAAAAGAATCACACACTGGAACACTTCGTACATGTACGCACGGTCGAAATACACGATTGATGGTTGAGAAACGTCGGAAGCAACGAGAATAAAGTCCCTTCGCGTATGTGCACCGAACTTTAGAATTGGGTAGGACTTGAATTTTTCACAGCGAACGACACACAACCACATCGTAGTCGTGATGCCATGTTCACGTAACGCTCTCTTGGCTGGTCATACAAGAACGTTAGAGGCAGGGCGAACACAGGCCGAACACCAGTTTTCAAAAGGAGAAAAAAAAAATGTAGAGAAAAAACTGGCGTAGCACTTCTCACTCACCTGACCAACGTCGCACCACATTATTATTTCGCTGGCACTGACGACAGCATCTTGGATCGCTCGTGTACCATACACAGTATAGCGCAATGATTTTTTGTTTTCAATGAAGAAACAGTACGTGAAATCGAAGCTCCACCGTCGGTGTACGCTCCGTGAAATGCTCTGTTCGTTTTGCTCTCTCACAGTCTCACGAAATACACTCACAATTGCGGATATATTTGTCGCCGTTTGCTTGTATCTCGCGTTTCAGAATACCGCCTGACTAGCTCGTCGAGTAACACCACACGATCACTTCGAGTGAACGACACGACTCTCACCGACGAACCCACTAGCTACTGGCTGGCCATGCAAAGCATTACTGAATACTCTGACAACAGTACTCGTCGAGTGCCGCCGCTCGGTTTTCCCCCGAGCGCGCGCTCGGCCGTTTCCGTTGGACCTCGGCCCACCTGCACTCTAGCACGACGGCACAGCACGCAGTACCGTATCTGCGTCATTCTATGCCCTTCCCTCGTTCTTGCGTCTATCTTCGAACCGCTTACTGTGATCTTCTTACGCGAAGCTTACATGTTTTATGTATTAAAAAATTGAGACACGTGTATCAGAAATTATATAGGAATAAAAAGATTCAATAAAATTCAATTACGTTTATTAATTTCTACCCATATCACTCCCATACAAGATCTAGAATTTTTTATTCTTATCGATCATTATATAACGCGTGTTACGTGCATGGATTTACGTTACATTATCGTCAGGATCATGTGTAAGCTAATATTTTCTAATTTTTATGAAAGAAACACCTCTTGAATGAACGTAAATTAAAGGGTCCTGGCTATTTTCCAGCCTGTAAAATTGTAATAACGGGAGCGTGGCGGGTACTTTAATGTTCGCGAAGAAAGTTTCAGAATTTATTTTTACACGCTACCGGTTGGCTGCGTGTAGCCGATGTAACACGCACCACTGTGTGTTTTGGTCGTTCGAAATCATGCAAAATGAATTTCATGAGTATCGACGCGCGATGATACCGATGATTTAGTTCGATCGAATCATTTTTTGCGCAATGGCCGTGCCAACGACAATACGAATTCATTAAAGCGTTAGCTAAATTGTTTCGATATATCTATCAAAATACGCGTGGAAAAATTAAAATAGTTCTGTGTTTCAATGATTTACTACGCCGACCGATTGAATTTCGAATTCAATAAATTATTTTTAAAAGCCATTGTACATCGAAAAGCGAACAGCATATTGTCGACATTCGAACGGTGGTAGATTTTGTACGGGCGGAAGGGTAGGTTCTATTCACGCCACGTAAATTAATTGTATAATTGATATTGAATATCCTCGGATTGTTTATGCCATTCAGGTTGCTCATAGAAAGGAAATTCATTGTTTAAATACATGATTTTCAAATGTAATCAATGCTTTTATATAGTCTGATTTATAAACTGATTTATGATGCTTGTCTAACATTTGAAAAAAATTGACAAAAATAACAAGCATAGATAGAACGCACTTGCTAAACGCGGAAAGGGCATAGAGAAGGGACGACCACGTGTGTCCTTAAATCCTTACCAAAGAATTCAAACTTTTTGAATTAAAATAACGACAAGTTGCATTTTTTTTGCACTAAAGTTCGAGGTATTATTTTATTTTATTTTATTAATGCAACATCTGTCTACAAAACACATTTATTTAAAGAGGTTATGTTGTATTGAATTTCTGTTTTCACCCTCTTCAAGTTTTCAATTGATTTTTGCATTATTAAATATAAAAATTACGAATATAAAGATGTTTTTCATCATAAAAGTGTTTGTACTAACATTGACGCGAAAAATTGTTCTGCGCGAGAAAGTGCGCGATAGTCTGGTTCTCGCTCGATGAAAGTTACGGGAGAATGGATAGAGCTACGATGAAAAATTTGATCCAACGCAAAAACTCAAAATGACTTAGGCCATTGGATAGGTACTGCCGAGAACTATTTCGCGAACCTCGCACTTCTCGCGCCGTTTATCAGCAACTTTCTTACGCCGAGTCTCCAAATTATGTACTTCCGAACGGTCTAAAATCGAAACTAAAAACATTCGACACCATCGTATAATTACAATGTTGCCACGGTGTAAAATAAATTCTAATCTTTCGAATTTTCCAAAGCATCGATCTATTAAAATTAATAGAAAAATTTTCACGCTACAATTTATTTAATCCTTCGAATAAAATCATAAGCAAATATATAAAAATTACGTCGAAAAATATTTACGTAACAAATCTATAAATGTATCTATGAAGAAATATCGTAGAATTTTTTAGCGCGTCAGCAAATATAACGAAAATTGTAGCGTTCGATATCGAATCGAAACTGTGGCTCGATTTCGATTTCGAGGCTATGAAACGGGGAACTCGTAGGCACCGGGGCCCCTGAGTACGAGGGAGTCTGCCCAACGCCGTTAGCTTCGAAACCCGCCACTGACTGTCAGCCTGTATACGGCAAGCAGCGTAAGAGCGCTCGAAGGCCTCGGCTCTCGCGAGCCAGCAACGAGGCAGACAACGCCGCACGGATACCGCGCGCCACCTTCCATACGGCAAGCAGCCTAAGAAAATTCACCGCGAACATTTTTATTCGGTATCGGGTAAACGGGCCGCATCATCGGTACGCTTCGATCGCGAAACAACAGCGTGCAAATGCGCGCATCGATCGTTGATCGTTGTTTCCCAGTAGGTCGGTTAATTTCGCGAATTTTGCGGGACATTCCGTAGGCAGCCCGAGGGGAGAGCGTGCTCGAGGCTTTGAGAGAGGAGCGTACGGCAGCGTATCGCGCGACGGCCACAGCCGTCGGCGAGGCAGTTCTAAGCGAAGTCGTTTTCTCCGTGAAGGCGCGGTGAAAATTTCTTCCTCCTCCTCGTCGAAGCACAAACTTCTTTCTCCCTTCATTGTTGCCCGGTGTCTACTTACACATCCGAGCGTTCGCAATGCTTTTAACACAGAGAGAAAAAGAACTTCAGCTTCTTGTTACCGCGTGAAAGTCCCTATGTCCATAACTTGAATTTCGATCGATCCGCTCTCAGCTACCGGTGAGGATCGAGGTGGCGCGCCGGTGTGTTTTCGAAACGTAAAGCCAAGATTTTATGAAATTTGTTCTCTCGTTTGGTTCGCGCTGCGCGATTCACGACCAGCGCTGAGTCGGTCAGGCAGAGATCGTTGTTTTCAGAGAGATCGAACCGCGGACCGTGACGAGTTCCGAGGCATGTAATGAGTTTCATCTGCTATCCCCAGGATTCACGAATACCAACGGTTACTTTTGCTGATCGAGAATGGGAAGAGTGTCGCCAACGTTTCGACACGAGTTTAACGCGTGTGTCGTTTGTGTTATTGTTGTTTAACGTGCGGTTTTGTCGATTCGAACGGCGGGAAACGCGAACGCGTCGAAAACCCGAAAAAGAGAGGGAAGAAAAGAAAGAGTAGTGGGACGTAGGAGAGTTTTAACTGGCAGCTTATTGTCGGCGCGAGAATGCGCCAATGATTCTGACCGCGGAAACGAGCGCGTACCGACCGTTTAAACCAGCTCACTCGCAGTGGCACAGCCGTATGCAGCGTAATACCTGTGCCGTGACAAACGAAGAGACCAATACACGAGGACAGACGAACGCGTGGCTTCGCGACGGAAGTAAAGCGCCAGTTGGGTTTACGATTGGTTGAGCATTGCGCGACAGATGAATTGTGGCCAATGAATGTCCTTGCTCTCTGGACGAGGCCGCGGCGACGTAAGCAAGCCTTATTCGAACATTATGAACGTTTGCGTATCTCTGGGAGTGCGCGTTATGCCATGCTTTCGTCGATTGTACACCGATTTCAGAAGCATCTACCGGATTCTAACCGTTCGTATTTTACGATATATAGACGGTTTTATGAAAACTATATATCCTCCTGTTTTACTACGCTACGACGGATTTTCTAACGAACTGGTACATTTAGACGATATTTCTTCTTTCTTTATTTCGTCGATAGTCTTTGTTCTTTTTATATTTCTCTTATTTTGCTTCATCCTGTTAAAATCACGTTCGAAATGATTTAGACTTTCCTTTGATATGATTAGTAAACTTTCTCATCTAGCAACGGAATAGGAACTAGGCATCGAAGGTACTCGTGGTGGGGATAAAGAAAGATCGAGGAACTCGCGGGGCGTTTTACGATCGTCTTCGAAAGCTGCGACTCCTGTGCACTTCCGGCCTGGATTCTGGAAGCACCTTCAGGCGGTTTTCTTTTCGCGGAAGCGAAAAGATAATTCTGCAACTGCTGAAAATATCGCGATGATGTTGGATAGGCTGTCTACTCGACGTATCGATATCTCGCTGCTACTATTTCCTATGAATTATAGATCGTTTTGTTGTAACGGAAAGGCTTGAGGTAGAATTTTTATATTTTTTACGTGTTTCGAGGTTATGTAAGAAGAATCGTTAAAAGTAATTCCTTAGTATAAAATATTACTTTAATTACGACGTGATACGATGTTTTTCATATTTTTTAATACTAAATAAACGATATTTCGATTATTTCGTGGACATTGAACGTTTCGCACAATTTGTTACCGAGTATCGACTGAAAATCTACAACTTAATGGTGTTTACGTTACAAGACTGCAGAAGTATCTGAGTATGGATTCGAAAAAGCATCCAAGAAAATCGTGTTACGTTGGTGCAGCGACCGAAGATACTTGGAAAGTCGGGTTCGTTTTCCCACTGTCCCCTGCAACCGGAAGTTACTCTTCGGCTGCATTTCTTTCATCCTTAAATCTCCTTTACCGACGTCCTTCTCTTTTTTCCTCAACGGCGTTCTTCACTTTCGAGACATGATTTGTACAGGTTGATAAACAAAAATTCTACGTTGCAAAATAAACCAACCAAATTTCTGATTTACAGAAATCCGATTTTTGGGTAATTTCGGATATTTGTCATTTATATATTTTATTCTGTGAATTCTTCCTAACAAATAAACGGAACAAATTTATTCCCCAATACAGAAGATTTATTTGAAACCGTAGACAAATTATTTAGCGTACAACAGACACGAATAAATTCCTTTACTTTCGGAAGATATCTTATTTTCAAAAATATAAACACACCTCGCTGTTCGAAGCGTCCAAACATGGTTCGACACGGATACAAAAACCCGTAGAAGTTCAGGAAGCATGGCTTCTGGTAAACAAAGTCTAAAAGTCCGGTCACTCGGCCTCGTATACGCACTTCACGAAACCAACGACCGAATATTAAAGAGTGGAATTATTATAATTAGAGCACGATACATACAATTTGTTTCTTGTTAATCACAAAGAAAATATTA